GGGGGGGTTAGTGTGTAGATAACACGCTTTCCTGTCAAGTCTGAGTAGTTCGTTCGATTCGTGGTTTGCCTTAATGTTGTTTGCGTACGTACAGGATAATTAGGGGAAATGGAACCTTTCATTATGCCAGAGTTTCTACGAAAGGTAACAGTTTTCTTTGCTCACCAATTGGAGATCTTTTTATATTATTTCAAGTATTAAAATTTGTTATTGTGTAGTCTTTGATTTTGATCGTTTATCGAAAGTTTTTGTTTCCTTTGTTCTCCCCAGGAATGCTCGAGTTTAACCTATTTGGCATTCCCTATGTAAGTGATTGCTGATAGCGCCATTTGTTAATGGTTATACACAGTGCACACTGTCAGTCAGACTCATCGGATTCCGTCGGGGCCAGACAGATTTTCCTTCGAAGAGGGGCAGAAGCTGTCACTTTGGCACAATACGACAGATTTCAACTGAAATCGACTCTGACCTTCAAATCAAACTTTTTTTTTTCAAGGTCGTTGGTTAAATCGGTTGTATTGGGAACAAAATGGTAGCTTTTGACACATTTGAGGAGGGAAATAAGGCTGGCCCAGACTTAAACTGATGCATTCGACTGACAATGTGCATTGGATATTAGGACTGGTATTGGTATGGTTTAGTATAAAACACGATGCCCCTTTTACAATACAAGGATGTATCTAAAAAGAATCTGAAGCTTTAAAATAAAGATATTTATCCGATAAGACTTAGTCAAGTGGAATCAGATGTAGAGCTGTGAGAATTCTGACAACAGCCAAAGTTCAAGAATGCCAGACTAGGGATTGGAACACTACTAAAGTCACAACTCTGATTGCAAGTGGATAGCACAGACTGGTATTACAATTTCCAAGACTGTGCACTCTGACTTAATTCCAGGTCACCATAGAGCGCGCCATTTCATCTCATGAACAGTTATTTTGCTTTCATGGGTTCTACTGTCCAGGTCTGGCATTGGTAGCACTTGATACCTCAGAATTACAAAGTTCTATCAGCTCAGTACCTAGTTTTGAGAAATTTGGAGTAAAAAAAATTTGAGTTTCACAATATTTCAAGATTTTTATTAAAACGGAATTCTTTAAATATTTTGATAACGACTGTGAATAATCTTACAGTTTTGATAGACAGACAGAACATTTGGTTTCTGACCTCATGGTCTTAGTAACTCAAAACGGCCAAAATGTCAGATAGAACTTTGCAATTCTGAGTCAACGTAATGTTGGTATAAACATTGAAACGACAATGTCTATACCAACATTACGTTGACTCAGAATTGCAAAGAGAACTTAATTGGTTCAGGTAATGATCGTACACAACGATCATTGGTTCAGGTTAACATGAACTCCACCCACACCACAGATCGGTGCAGACATTTGCGGGTTTTTCCAAAACACTACCGTCGAGCTGTGCAAACGATGGATGCAGCTTGGAGCCTTCTACCCATTCAGCAGGAACCACAACGGCATTGGCTTCATCGTGAGTATCTAGACATATAATAGCAGTTCATCCCTCAGTGACAATGACAATGACAATGATAATGACATTCTTTTTTTATTTATCTCGCGGGGAAAATTTGTCTTGGTCATTTACAGCGGCAGTGGATGTTACAAAGGTCAGGTGCACACACGCATACACACAACAAGAAATGGCATATATCCATGCATTATCTGCTAAGGCACCTCCATTCCATAAGCATTCTCTCTCTCTCTCTCTCTCTCTCTCTCTCTCTCTCTCTCTCTCTCTCTTTCTCTCA